AAAGGAAAGGAAAGGAAAGGAAAGGAAAGGAAAGGAGAAGAAAGGAAGAAAGAAAGAAAGACAGCAGGGCGCGCGCGCGCGCGCGCTCGTGTGCTTTGGACGGCGCTCTCTCTGGCGCGCTCTGAAATGCGCTCCAGAAAGGCGCGCTCAGGGCGCGCTCTGCAGAGAGAAAGACAGAGAAAGAGAGAGAGAGAGAGAGACAGAGAGAGAGAGAGAGAGAGAGAGAAAGAAAGAAACAAAGAAAGAAAAAGAAAGAAAGAAAGAAAGAAAGCAAGCAAGCAAGCAAGCAAGCAAGAAAGCAAGAAAGCAAGAAAGCAAGAAAGCAAGCAAGCAAGCAAGCAAGCAAGAAAGCAAGAAAGCAAGAAAGCAAGAAAGAAAGAAAGAAAGATAGATAGAGAGAGAGAGAGAGATAGAAAAAGCAGGGCGAGCGCGCGCGCTCGTGTGCTATGGACGGCTTACTGGGCTCTTGTCCTCCTCTTGTCCTCTGTGCTGGGCTCTGTAGCTGGGCCTTGTCCTCCTCTTGTCCTTGTCTTGGCCGCGCCCCTGAACTCTGTGGCTGGCCAGGCTTACTGGAGAGAAGTGTGGCCGAACAAATAGCGGTGTCAATGCCGACAAAAATCCATTGATGAAGCAGTTTGCTTTTGGGGTGAAAGTAGGGCGTACCAAGAAATCTATGTTTTACTAATATTGGTCTAAACGAATCGTTTTGAAACTGTTTGGGGTCTATGCTGGTATAATATAATTGATACTCTGACCCATGTCATTTGGTTGCAACAGAGCCCTTCCAAAAGCTGTTTCGGCTCCCTCTCACCCCTCTCACCCCTCCCACCTCTCACCCCTCCCACAAAAAATAGGACAAAAGCAGACAACACATACTATATACATCATATTATTTTTTTCCTTTCAATGAAACTCGTGGCCAGTCCCTCGTCTCAGAGCTCAGCACGACTGCCAACACGCTCGATTTGGTGAGCAGCATCGAAAAGGCCGTGCAGGCCCGGTTCCACGGTGTTGCCATAAACCAAAAAGGCTGCATAGGCTTATTCACAAGTTCAAACAGAGTACTGAGCTGTGAGACTTGTGTAAGGCCTGAAGGCCCTATTTGTCTTCATGTCATTCAGGTGGTGACCCATGCGAAGAAGTGCATTGTGTATTTCTTCGACAACGATGCCACAGAGGTGGAAGGGCCGTTGTGCGATGGCCTCCAGCCTAGTAGCGATTTGAGATTTTAGAGACAAGGTCATGCTGGGTTTCCGATGCTCGGGTCGCCATGCCATCAATTGATGGCATCCCAATACGCTGTTTTCATGCTGTGGGAGAGGTGTGGTCCTATCCGACGGTCTCTGTACCAGCATCTTATCGCTTGGCCTTTGGAATTGGGTCAGTTGCCTACACAAGAAACATGAGACAATCGCTCGTATTTTGTACTCTTCTGTATGAAAGCAGAACCAAGGCTTCCGGGCCGGATTGCCAGCTTTTTGAAGGAGCTGAGCAATGTTCAAATGACTGACACTTGTGGCAGCCATTCACCGCCATGTTTGATTTATTTCTTATTTGCCAAAGAGCCAGGAGAATACCAAAGATCAGCCAGGAGTGCTCGTCTACAATGCCAGATCCCAAGAATCAGAGAATCGCCCCCTGTCAGATGATCCAGTCGAAGTCAGCTCTTAGGACTTGAAGACGTGCCCCTATGTGGACACCGTGCCATTTGCTG